AGGTTTTTGGTACTCGCACACCATACCTGAAGCAGAACGGACAAGAGCGTTAGCAGTGATTCAACAGAAAACAGCAGCAGAGACAACAGCAGCAGCATCAACATCGGCAGCAGCAGAGACAACAACAGCAGCAGCGACACCGACAGAAGCAGAAGCAACAACAACAGCACCAGCACCAATCGCCAACTCTTCATCAGCACCAACTCCCACTCAACAGATGACTCTTGCCCCACGCGAAGCTCACAGAAGCGCCAACATCACCGCAAGTTTTCACTCCAACTCCGATCTGTACAGGCGTTCACCCGGACATCGCGCCGACGAATCATTATGGCATCAAAGGTTAGGGCATCCCAGCAACACAACACGATAAGAGCAGGAGTGCTCGATAAAGACTCACTACTTCTACCCGACGGCAGAGAACTTCAACGAGTCCGCGGAACCTGCTTTACCTGCCCTGAAGCCGACTTACCCCATCAACCGTTCGTCTCTCACCACAACCTGAGCGCGCCAGCATACGCACCACTGGAGAAGGTCTACAGCGATATACTGTACACCCGCGAAAGCGAACAAGGAGCATACAACTACGTAATCACTTTCATCGACGCCGCCACCAGATACGTCTGGCATCTCAACCTTCCGAGTTGCGACATGGCCTTCGAAGCATTCGTCGCTTGGCTCCCAGTAGCAGAAAGAGAATCAGGAGTGAAGCTGAAAAGCTTTCAGTCAGACGGAGGAGGAGAATATCAGTCACAGCGGTTCAAGCAATACTTGGCGGAGAGAGGCATCAAGCGACTCATTTCTCTTCCCTACGCTCATCAGCAGCAAGGCGTGGCAGAAAGAATGAACAGGACCCTACATAACACCATGCGCAAGCTGCTACGTGGCATGCGGCTACCGAACCATTAGTGGCCTGAGGCGATGGACCACGCTGTGCTGTTGCACAACTTGCTTTCGTCATCCTCGCTTCCGAACAACACATCACCGCATCTGCTGTGGACAGGAAAATTGGGCAACACAAAAATGTTACGGGTCTTTCCCTGCATGGTACAGTACCGACCACACACTGCACGAGCCGGAAGATTCTCACAACGCGCACAGTGGGGGCTACACCTGGGCATCGAAAAACACTACAACGCGTGGAAAATCTTCGACGTCCACTCGAAGGAAACAGTAGCAGCACGTGACGTGATCTTCTACGAGCGACTCACTCTCCAAACGTACCTGGACAACTTGTCAGCAGAACGAGACCTCACGGGGGGCTTCCGTGGCAACCGAGCCTTCGCCACACCAGCAGATGAGGCTGACTGGGATGAGCAAAACGTGGACGGAGCATTCGAGGAAGCCGGACCTCTTCCCTACTGCTCGGTACCTGTTCCGATGGACGACGAAAATCCTCGCGAAAGCATCAACGCCGAAGTCTACTACGACTTCGCCGACAACGGTTACGTTACACCACATCCGGTCAACACAAACGTTTCAGAACGCATAGGCCCCAACTTCTTACCTGATCCAGAAGCGGGAGACGAAGCAGTTAATCCCGAGGACCCAAATCTCCCTCGCTACACACAGAGTGGACTGCAGATTCTTGGGCTCGTCACCGCAGTCCATGGCGCACCAATGCCGCGAGAGCCTGCCACGGTCCAGCAGGCTCTGGGGGGGGAACACAGGGAAAAATGGCGTGAAGCCATGGACAGGGAATTAAAGGCGCTGGAAGACAGAAACACCTGGAAGATAGTACCCATCGGAGTGGCACGCAACAAAACCGTACTCACAGGAAAATGGGTCTTCCGCGTGAAGACGAAAGCCGACGATACAATTGACAAATTAAAGGCACGATGGGTCGTGCATGGCCTCGACTAAGAACACGGACGAGACTTCACCGAAACCTTTGCGCCGGTCAGCCAACATACATCTCTGCAAATTCTTCTCGCGATAGCCGCTATGAAGCGGAAGAAGCTCCGCCAAATCGACGTAGCTAACGCTTTTCTCTACGCTCCCGTCGACGCCGAAATCTTCGTCGAGCAACCACACGGATCCGACACAGACCCTAATCAAGTTTGTCAGCTGCTGAAGTCCTTGTACGGCATCAAGCAAGCTCCGCGGCTGTGGCAGCAGTACCTACACGCCCGACTAATCCGCATCGGCTTTCAGCAACTACCACACGACCAGGGCATGTACAGGCTCACAAAGGAAGTTGAGTACATTCTATTCATCGTGCATGTAGACGACCTACTCTACATAGGCTCCACCGACGGTATCACCAATTGGTTTGAAGGGGAGCTGCAACAAGATCTCTCACTCACGTTTTCCTCTACCGTGACCCAGTACCTTGGACTCAGCATTCTAGACGGAGAGAACGCAATCTACCTCAGTGCCGCAAAATACGCCGACACCATCGCAAAACGCTTCGGACTGTCGCCAGCCTCCATTTCCACGCCCTGCCACTACACCGCGGGAAATCACCAGGAAAAATCCAACCTGCTTGGACCTGCCGACCTACGCGACTACCAACGAAAACTGGGCTGTCTGCTCTTCGAAGCCGTCACCTGCCGACCGGATCTGTCATACTCAGCGAGTCAGCTTGCTACCCACCTCAAGCGACCCGAAGCAGAGCACATGGCCGAACTCGACCACGCCTTACACTACCTCGTCAGCACGCCAACGATCGGCCTAACCTACCACAAGACTGGAACCACTACTCGAAAGCTAATCGGCTACGTGGATGCTGACCACGCAGGCGATTCTGATAACAGGCGATCGCGCACCGGCTACATCTATCGACTCGAGCCCGTCGGTCCTATCTCGTGGCAGTCAAGCAAGCAAGAACTAATTGCTCTCTCCTCTGCTGAAGCTGAATATATAGCACTCTGCTCAGCCACCAAGGAAGGACTGTACCTTCGCGAACTACTGGACGAAGCAAAGCTGGCCCAGTTACCCAGCTTCTCCCTCTTCTGCGACAACCAATCTGCAATTCGCATAGCGAACAAGAGCGGGTTCGCGAACCGAACGAAGCACATTGCCCTGCGCTATTTCTTCGTGAAGGACGAGATCGAGAAAGGGAGACTCGAGCTATCCTACTGCCCCACGTCCGAGATGGCAGCAGATTACTTGACCAAGAAACTCGGAAAGCAGAAGTTCGAGTACTGCATGCTGCTGACTGGACAAAGCCACGTCATCAGCAACGAAGGCGACGACATTCCAGAAGCGAAGGGGAGTGTTGGAAACATATAGTTCGCGCTTCTGGTGTGTCGAGCACTACAACGAAAGTGAAGCAAACTAAAGCGAAGCAACAGCGAGTCAACCAAAGCGGTTGATAGAAAGACAACAGCAAGAGGTTGAGAGAAGGTCAAAGGTCAGTGACCTTTGACTCGCCGAAGGCAGCGCGACAGCAAGAACACATAACTGACTCGATATTGAGCAGTTACCCGAGTCGTCGCTGTATCGAACCGCAATAGCAGTTACAGTTAGTTAAACCTTTCGTATTCCTTGTAATAATATAAAAGCTTGTATCTCTTTGTTATTATCAACTCATCTTGTTCTCACATACCAGTGCAAGGTGGTTCAATCAGTTCACTATTACTCTTCCGCTAATACATCATTACTCTGAGACTTTAGTCTTGAAAACGATCCTAAGGGCTTTTCTCAGCCCAACAATCATCAGACCCAAATTCTCATTTTTTAATGCCCTAAGACTCATTGAAATACTAATGAGAATATCATAAGCCCTAGGGTATTTTATCCAGGGGATTATGGTGATCATATAATAATGTTTTTTCTGAAAAAAAAAAAAACAAAAGCACACAAACGAACATTTTTTTTTTTTTTTTTCAAGCATTGCCTTCGCAACCTAGTGCAACTTCTCGTTAGCATTACAACTAAGATCAGCTAAGGGATTGAACCAGAGCCCCTCCTCTATGGCTATATCTATGTCAAACAAAGCTCCATATTCCGTAACGTTGCTCTGCACAGGAGACGATTTACTATTATTCCTCACCTCCACTTCGTCACCACCATTACTGCAGCCCCCAAAAATATCCTCCACCAGTCTATTAGCGAAATAAGAAATGCCACCCTCAGCAGCTGGAAGAGCAGGTCCTCTCGCAGCTTCAACTGAATCGCGCTGTAACGAGGACGGGTCAGCAGTTGTATCCAAAAGAATAGCTGATTTGTTAGCAGGAATGGTGGTGCAAGAAAGCCGAGCATGCTCAGTTGAGGAATCCCCAGCAGCACTGGAGAATTGCAGCAAGGGGGCAGCAACATCCACTTGTGGTAACCCTGTAACCATAGTGACCGCTGAACCCAGGTAGCTGAGGTCATGATCAGGAGGGTGGTTACCAGGAATCTCTGCTGTAACACTAAACCGAGCGTGGCGATCTTGAGAATTCCGAAAAGCGTGGCCCGGTGCAAAGGGCACAGAAGAAGGTTGAAAGCAGGTGGGAGGCTGAAAATCTCTTGCCCTCTGAGAATTCTCGAGTGCGTGACTTGCCGAATTTTGAGAATTCTCAAAACCTGCTGCAACAGGTGGGCAGCAAGCATGACTCGGCACGAAGGTCAGAGAAGCTGGTTGACGTCCGGTGGGCGGTAACGGGAATGTCGGATCTTGAGTCTTCCCATAACCATGCTCCCCCGCAAAGCACACAGATACAGGTTGAAAACAGGTGGGCGGTGGCACGTCCATGTGCTGAGCTGCTGCTCTGGGCAAGCCGTTTGCCGTTGCAGCCATGGCTGGTTTTTGAGGCGTCTCAAGAATCGTGTGCTGAGCTGCTCTTGTGAGCAAGCCGTCTGGCGTTTCAGTCACGGCCGACGCTGCTGGTGCTGCCGACACTGCTGGTGCTGCCGCCGCCGCCGCTGCCGCTGCTGGTCCCACTGCTGCTGCTGCTGCTGCTGCTGCTGCTGCTGCTGCTGCTGCTGCTGCTGCTGCTGCTGCTGCTGGTTGGGCTGAGTTCAAAGACGTCTCACAACGTTCCAGAAATGATATTTCCTCGGCTGGATTGGCAGTCATGGAAGGAGGAGGAGGCTCTATGGGGTTCGTTTCACCGCAGTTGCAGCAGCAGCAGCAGTGGGCGGGTTTTGCTGCAGGCACGTTGAACGGTTGGCTTGGTGTGGATGCGTATGGGGAAGGTGCATATGGTCCAGGTGGGTACGATGAAGACGCATGTGGGGGGGGTGGATATGGTATCGTTGCGGAATTGCTCACAAGAGGGGGTGATGGCTGATTTGGTGGTGGTTGGAGGGAGGGCTGAGAAGAAGGTGGGCTGAGAAAATGGGCTGCTGGTGGCTGTACTGGGAGAGGTGGAGGAGGGGATGGTAAGGGAAGATGCTGCTGTGGTGGCTGTGAAGGTTGCTCATCGAAGCTGCCCCCCCCTCGCAGCACCACATGCTGCTGCTGCTGCTGCTGCTGCTGCTGCTGCTGCTGCTGCTGCTGCTGCTGCTGCTGCTGCTGCTGCTGCTGATGATGATAATGATGCTGAAGGGATGGATGATGGGCCTCAGGTACTTGAAATTCATGCTGCAGGTGCTGGTGCTGGTGCTGGTGCTGATGTTGTTGGTATGCCTGGTAACATGGTTGAAGTTCATGCTGCTGCTGCTGCTGCTCCTCCTCCTGCTGCTGCTGCTGCTGCTGCTGCTGCTGCTGCTGCTGCTGCTGCTCCTGCTCCTGCTCCTGCTGCTCCCGCTGCTGCTTCTGGTGCTCCTGCTGCTCCTGCTGCTGCTTCTCCTGCTGCTGCTGCTGCTGCTCCTGCTCCTGCTCCTCCTCCTGCTGCTGCTGCTGCTGCTGCTGCTGCTGCTGCTGCTGCTGCTGCTGCTCCTGCTCCTGATCCTGCTGCTGCTGCTGCTGCTGCTCCTGCTCCTGCTCCTGCTCCTGCTCCTGCTCCTGCTCCTGCTCCTCCTCCTGCTCCTGCTGCTGCCGCTGCTGCCGCTGCTGCTGCTGCTGCTGCTGCTGCTGCTGCTGCTGCTGCTGCTGCTGCTGCTGCTGCTGCTGCTGCTGCAGGGTCTGGTATTGAGCATGATAAGGCGGCTGGAACTGATGCAATCCTGCTTGTAAAGGTTTGGAGCAGGAGAAAACAGCAGCGCTGGTGAAGGGTGAAGGATAAATGGGAGGAGGGGGAGGAGGAGCAGCACGGAAGGGAGAAGAAGCAGGGCAGACACCAGCAGCAGTGGGTGAGGGGGGGAGCGGAGGGTGAAGAGGAGGAGATCGTTGTTCTGGATTTGGTTGTACAGGGTATGCTTGCATAGGGGATGACCGATGAGTTGAGCAGACATGAGATGGTGAAGCTGGCTGAGGGGAAGCATGACTTGGGATATTTCCTGTGGGAACAGTAAGTGCCGTTGCTGCCGTTGCTGCCGTTGCTGCTGCTGGTGGCAATTGAGTCGGCGGTGTGGCAGCTTCACGGCACTGATGAGCTGCTGAAAAGGGCGTGACTTCAAATCCAGATGAAGTTGATTCGGATGGTGGAGCAGGAGAGTGTGAGCTTGAAGGGTGGTGTGGCTCCATCTGGTTGGATTGCTCATGCTCAGCCTGAGGATGGCGCTGAGATTCCTCACTTGATGTGGTATACACCCACTGCTCTCCATAGTTATTGTCGCAATCCGGTCCGGCAGGAGGGATAAGCGGGCCGACACCGGAAAATGCCAATGGAGTGGAAGAGTTCAGAGATTTATAGAGAATTTTGGATGAAGCAATTTTACTGTTTTGTATGGAAATGTAGGTGTAGGAATTTTGTGTGTTGTCAGTGTAGTTGCTGGGCTTGTAACCAGCAACTCTGCAGGTGTCAAGCTCATCGCCAGTGTTGTCAGAAACAGCTTTCGCCTCATCGTCCGGAACAAGAGCGGGTGCGACGGTATTTGCGAACCCGTTCGGAACCATGGGAAGTTTTCGAAACCCGTGGTTCGGCCTGCGACGGGACACAAGGGTCGATCCGAGATCGCTGCGTCCCGAGAAACTAGTTGACACACCCGTCGCCACTTTCGCGCTTAACGAACCATCCGTTTCGCAACCACCCGCGGCGAGAGAGGAGGCAGCAGGTGAGCTGGCGGGTGGAGTCGTTGCGGGGAAAGCAGACGGGCCGTGGTTGTGCTCGCCGGTGAACGAAACATGGAAACTGGCCGGTTGCGTGTCGACACGCCAATCAACGGTTCGCTTGGCAGGACATGGCTCCGCTCCTAGTAAGCCCGAACACGCACAGCGGAAGTACGACCTGATAGTTGGGGGAAGCACGCAGGACGTTTTGAAAGGGGAATATATTGAATACGCCTGATTACTGAATGATTACAAACAGAGCATACCAAAAATTCTCAGTGAAACTGACTTCGCAACCATAGTAAAGCCCCTGTCCAACTAACGACTCACCGCAGGCAATTAGGCTGGTTCATTAGCGGTTTCTCTCCATATTTTAGCCAAGTATAACCATCCTCCGGAAGACAAGTTGGCACCAATGCAGCGCGCAGTTTTTTTCCCTCCGCTAGACGAAGCGCCTCGCCGGTATAACTAGCGCCGGCGGCGATATCGCCACTGCTTCCGCCGCGTTTCAAGGACCGTCGCCCTGCGCAAGTCCTTCTAAGGGAAAAGTTCGATGTGGGAGAAGTGCGGTGACTTGGCGATTGTGTTTTCTCTGTAAGGTCTGTACAATACTCCGTTACTTCCGCGGCTTCTAAGTGCTTCCGGCGCTTCATTGCTAACAGTGTTGTCGTCCGCGCGTCGCCAATGGCGCAAAGTACGGCGCAGCGGTAAAATCATCCACTTCGTAGTGCGTACTAGTAGCAATACTACTAGTGCGACTTCTAGTGATGTTTAGACCGTGTGTCACTATAGTGAGGACGTAGGAGGCATTGTGGGGGATCATAGCTTGAAGAATAATCGCCTCGTCGTCACGGTAGCTGAACAAGGCCTTCCATTCGCACTTCGGGTTCTCCAGTAGCAGGGACTATTAGGGCGCGGTTTTCCGCAGTGACGTTGCCCTCGTTTGCAGACGCTATGGTATGCAAGTTTGCATGTAAAAACACGATCATGGTGCAACTGCCTGTACAGTAACACTGTTCGGGTACGACAAAATATTGTTCCCTGAACGCCAAACAAACAGTAAGTCGAACTTCAACAAAATTCGCGAACTGGCTCGATTATTTTGGGATTAAAACATTATATATAATTATTTGCACCGCGCCCTTGCACCCAATTTCTGGTTTCGGGTTAAACAGCATGGTTTGAAGTGGTGAGACATGGTTCGGTATGGCTGAATTATACAATTTTCGGGTGAGAAGGTGTACTGTTGCCAATACCTTGCTGTCCGTTCCGGCTGGTTGTGCCGAGAAACCACGTGCGGCGCGCACACCAGAGCGCATGAACCGAGTTTGTTCTGGCTCACAGTTGTCCAGTCACCAAGGGAATTTTGCAGGACGGAAAGGGAGATGCATGATGGCACTTGGGGCTTGGAAGGTACGAAGCATGGCAGTGTAGAGGTTAACATTCAAATGCGAAAGCAATTGAAGCAAAGCAGCTGACCGAAATAAACGCTTCACGAAAATGCGCGTCTGCATGTTGCTCTCAACCAATCCCTCCCTCAGTCGCCTGGCCTAGAGGAGGCACAAGCTGCAGCACTAGTGTCCATGTTGAACTCATTCAGTATTTTTTTAACTGTGGGTACATTGGTAACGTATAGAGTACGAAACACGGATTCTTTCCACGTATTCGATCACACGCTTTCTGCACAAGGGAAACAGTACGCAGCGAGGGGTGGAAGGAAGTCCCTCCAAACACGGATCGCTACAGTAACATTTCCCGTTCAAAACCAACGGGAACTCCGCCTTCCCGCACCAATTCGTGGGCCGTGGCTCGAGTCTGAGGACGCGGGCCCAATCGACTTTGATCGCCTCGATCAGAGACGATCAATAACTTCCAGGAAGCCTGGAAGCCAATTTCAGTCAATCGGGGGCAATTAGCTGATCGCGATCAACTGATCGCCCCAACTCGATCAGAGCCGATTGTCACCCCAATCAAACACAATTTTGGTCAATCACAAGCGATCACCTGATTGCATGGGTTCGGGGACCATAGAGATGCTTACTAAGGGCGTGGAACATTGTAACGACCATGTCAAATGGTCGCCCATATTGTTGCGTCAGGCGAAAGCGAAGGGTGTAACAGAGATGCGAAGGTTGCGAGATTTCTATGTGATTCTGTTCGCCAGAACGTAGGGCACCCACTAAAAACCACCCCCAATAATCAGAAACATTTAAATTCGACTTTACGCATTCGAAAGCGGTGTGGGATGTTTGGGGGAGCGGAAATGAGTCAAACACATTCGGGGGTAATTACTGGAAGTAAAATACTGTTCCCTTTTAATGGATAGTGTGGGTAGAGACCCCTAAAAACTTACGGGAGATACCACTGATTTTAGGTCAAGTCAGGGTGACTAATATGCGTGCCAGTCAATGCGGTTTCCCTAAATTCTTCGCAATCGCCAGAAACAACCATACATCCGACCATTTGGCGTGGTCGTTACAATGTTCCACGCCCTAAGTGTTACTCTATTGTACTTGATCTCGTTAAAGCTCCGGTATACATTTGAAAGGAGGGGTTCAAAATACTTAGGAACTTGAAAAGTTGCCTCAAAACTGTGAGGCACATCGTAAAACCCTGAACCTTGCTGACAAATGTATACTGGAGCTTTAACCCCTCGGTGTGGAGAGTGGTGTTTGCGATATTACTGGGAAACAAAAAATATTCGCCAGGTCGTTTGGTCGCCACTCTCGCTAAAATTGTACCGAAAGTGCCAGGTAATCGTACCGCGTTTGCCGAGCAGGTGCAACGAATTTCCTTGGAAAACCATCACTGATCGGGCAGCTCGAGCAAATCGATCACAAGCAACCCGATCAAATCCGACCCGATCAGATCAGAGCCGATCAGAGTCGATTGGGCCCACGTCCTGAATGACACACGCGGCACATCGCCAAAGAAGAGAGAAAACATTGGCAGGTTCTGTTGGCACCTAGGCACTATTATTTTGGTGTTGTTTTTGCGGAGAGTCACTCTACAACGGTAGTGAGCTAGACTACGGGGGTTGGCACGAACAACTAGGAGTGATCGTAGCTTTGCTTAGTTCCTTAGTGCTTGCGCATACGGGAGAAATCGGCAAGAGTTTCAATAGGCAAAGTTGGAATTACAGAATAGTTGAACAAGCAATGACAGAATTGACTACATCAGGCACCTAGCAACCCTGCAGCTAGCCTGGTCGACCGCCAGCACAGCTTGTTCGACCGCCTGCCAGCGTTGCATAGAGGAGCCGCGCCAGCACTGCAGAAGGGCGACCTGCCAACATTGCAGGTCGACGGCTTGCCAACGCTGCAGCAAAACGGCTGTCCAGCGTTGCCTCGTAGAAGACACCAGTGCGCACGCTCGAAGGTGCACGCAGACGATTGGCCCGACTTGCACCGTTGTGCATCCGTCGGCTGTTGTCTGCACCTGACGAACCACATCGACTTCGGGATACCAGCCCGAAGTCGCCTTCGCCATCGCGACCTCGACGACGTTCGCGTGCCTCCGCAGAACTCGTCGAACAGGTTACCCGGTCGACCTGGTCGACCACCAAGTGCTCCGGTCGACCACCAGTGCCTCTGGTCGACCACTGGGTCCCTCTGGTCGACCACCAGGTCCCTCTGGTCGACCACAGCTCCCGTCGAGCTACCCCCTCGTCGACGGACCCCTTCCATCGACCAGAACTGGCATATGATGTCGCCGAGCTCCCCTCGTCGATCGCTGCTCAGTTGTCAGGAGACTGAAGCAGCGCAGAGCGGAGACTGAACGGTCGCGAAAGAGGACGTCGAGGAGACTGAAGCAGCGCAGAGCGGAGTGGTCGAGGCGCCCACATGTAGTGCATGTACCCGTACCAGTCAGGATCCGGTACTTGAAGGGGCCAACGTCGCGGCCACCGCGACATGCCCCCTAGCTGCCAGGGCCACTGCTACGGCCGACGCTCCCCGGACCACCAGGTCCCCATTGCTACTGAAGGCACCACTTCTGAAACTGCTCCTGCACCTGCTGCTGCTGGTTGGGTCGCTGCTGCTGCCTCCTCTAGCCTTCCAGA